CAGGAGCTTGGCACGCGTCCCTGCCCCCGGGGGCTCAGGTACCGCTTGGAGATCCCCAGCCCAGCGGCTGCCCTCCACGGGGTGGGACTGACGGTGGCTTCTTTAGGAGTGACTTAGCACTCTCCCCCCAAAACTTTCTTCTTCAATTACCCAGCCTCCCTCCCCAAGACACCCCTGTCCCCCAGCGCTCTCGGGTCTAAAGGTATAAGCAAAAATGTCCTGTGAGCAAGTTGGGAATGGAGCACGGAAAGGGGTTCCCAGGACACTCCCTGTTCCACTGCACACAGGCCCAGACACCAGGCTCAGGTCTGGAGCATCTGCTTGCCTCTCAGGGTCAAAGATGGAAGGGGTTACATTTTAACTCCTAGGAGCTGGAGACCGAGTTGAGGGGTTTGGTCTTGATTTGCTGGTGCCTACGCTGCTGGGAGCTGGGTTGTCAGATCACACAGAGGGGATGTCTGTGTTTCTCAGCCTCTGTATCCGGGAGAGGTTGCCTGTGGGTCCTTATCTTGGGCACCCCGCCCCCCACCCACTGAAGGGATTAAGGTTAGGAAGGGTGCTGTCAGGATGGGTTGCTCACTCTGGCTCCGTGTGGAGCAGTCTGGAAGAACCCCATGTTGCCCACTGTCACTTGCCCCCTGGGGAATTGGGCATTTGGGGAGTAGGCCACTGGGGAGGGAGCCATCAGCTCAGGCTGAGCCTAGAGGCAATCAGGGTGTGTTTGGTGGGTGGGGGCTCCAGAGCAAAGTCAGGGCTCCCTAAGACCTGGTGGGAGGCAGAGGTAAGGAGAAAGCGTCACTCATTCTCACTTCCTGTTCCCCACCTTAGCCCTGTCCCAGGCTCCCTTCTCTAACTAATTGCCTGATGGCCTGTCTCCTGTCAGCTCCCTTGCTGGACACTGGGTGACAGGCATATAAGGGAGTGCTTTTTCTGAGGCACTTCCCAGCCTGAGCCCCTGGCACTGCAGGTCTGAGGGTGGGGGCCCCAGGGAGGCGCAGACAGCAGAGCAATGCTGGCTGGTGGCAGTCTTAATGCTTATCCCCTCTACCTCCTTGACATCATTTCCCTTCCCCTGACTATTAGGTTGTACTTGCCAGATCCTCTGCATGGCCCCTCCTAACAGTTCCTGGAAATCTTGGCTGCTGCCCCCTCCCAGGAGAAAGGCCGGGAGGGGTTTGGAGGAGCTATGGGGTGGGGTGTGGTCTATCCTTGTGAAGGCACCTTGCTTGATTATGGGAGAGGGAGGGACTCTGAGGGACACCTCACACCAGGCTAGGCCATGATTACTGCATCCTTCCACTTGCTCCCCTTTCTCCAAACCCATGGCCTGGCAAAGCTGAGCTGAGCTAAGCAGATGGGGAGGGGGGAGAATGAAGAGAGACCGTGTCTGGGGGCCATCTGGGGAGCCTGAGCTGCTGGTGGATCCCTGGACCCCTGCCAGCCTGCTTGGGGGGACCAGGGCCTGTCTTTCTCCCCAAGAGTGTATCACTGGATGGGGATGGGACTGGCTCTCAGGGTGAGGTCCAGGCCCCAATTCCTTCTCTGTTACATACACTAATGAGGAGAAGCCATGTGAATAATTCAGACCAGTGGAAAATCCAGAAGTCAAATGGTGAGGTTCTGATGCATGTGTAGGACTTGATTGCCCTGATGGCGTTTTTTGGCCTTTGCTCCGATTGGGTGAGTCTGACACTAAATGCCATTGGGAGTTCCTAAGTACCAGGGTGTGGAGGGTGGAGGCCCCAAATGTGTCTTTGAGGGTGTCTTGGTGGGAAAGGGTGGTGGCTGGGTAGAAATCTAGGGCAGCACCACTCCAGCTCCCAGGAGCCCCAGTGTGCTTACATCTCCTCTTCTTCCTGGGGAGGGGTCAGCCTGTCCCTCATCCTGTATAGGTAGAATGCACTCAACCCAAGGTCGCTTGGCTAAGAACTTGGCTCCTCTCATTCCCCACCAGCAGGGGCATGATGAGCTCCACCCTGGGGTGGCAGCTTGGTGTCTGCTTGAGGTTGCCCAGGGCTAAAGATTTGGCTAAACCCACAGGCCTGGCAATGGGTATTGCAGGGTATGCCTTCATCTGAGCACTGCCTCCACGGCTAGAGCTGAGTCCTGTCCTTAGTGAATGTCTAAGAGAAGGATCTCAGGCTGCTGAGAGTGATGGACAACCTCCTGGAGAGACCCCCAGTCCCGATGGGAGAAGCACAGCCCTCCCCTTGGGATCTAGTCACTTGGCCCCAGGGAACCTCTTCCTTTCACTTAAGCTCAGCCCTTTCATTCCTGGTAGGGAGTAGGATCCTGAAACCCCAAACCACTCCTCAGCTCCTGGCTGTGGGACCCATCTTGTGTGTGAGGAGTGGTGCCCCCGCCATGGCCCACAGCCAGAAAGGAGATGAGGGCCCTTGCTCTTCCTTTCCCATGGGCAGCCTTTCTCCTATGCATAGGTGGGTGGTGGGGGCTACTTTTCCAAGAAGGTTGTAAGAGAGAGGGGTGCTCCTGCTTACAATGGAGGTGGGGAGAAAGAGCAGGTTGAGCCAGGGCTTCCCGCTGCTGCCTTAGCAACAGCTGAGGAGTGATGGCTGCCCAGCGACATGGGCCTGCTGCAATGGTGGGAAAGCGCCCGCCAGGCTCCACGCTCTCGCCTCTCCTATGCCATCCCCAGGGTTGGGTGTCTTCCGGCCCCTTCAGGCCTTTCCCTGCCAGGGTTAGGGTTTGGGATGGTAAGGCACTCTTTCCAGACCTGCCAGGAGTGCCCTGCTTATGGTCAGGCATAGCACATCCCTGATCTGTCTGAGCAGGGAGGAGCCTGTAATCTTGGGGCAATGGGATCAAGGGCAGGTGCCTGGGATGTTGTGCTTGAGGCCAAGAGTGATGCTGGGCATCCAAGAGGAGGCTGGACCACTTGGAGAAGAATTCGTCTGATGGGGCCTAGCATCGTGGAGTACCCTTAGCATGTGCCCAAGGTCATGGGCCTTTCCCCAGGCTGTGTGGAGAGGTCAGGACGGCCCCAAGGAGGGTGTGGGTGCTGAGATCCTGCTTTCAGCTGGACCCCTTCCCTGCTGGGGCTGGTGGTAAAGAGCAGAGGTGATATCTCCATTCTGTGGGCCTGTGACTGAGGTGCTGTCTCCTTGACCAGCTCCCTCCTCTGGGGTGGGGCAGATGAAGTATGGGGGGCATGTAGCTGTGGGGTGGCTCAGGCCCCGTGCCTCCCATCTCTGGGGTGTCTCACACAGAGGATCCCAATGTAGTTGTGGCCATGTGGTCAGATGTTGGGCTGGGCAGAGGCTGTGGGATGACATTCCCAGCAGGCAGGGCTGGCACATGCTGACCCTGGAACCCAGGGATGTGGTAGACATGATTCACAGTGACATCTGGGGCCAGTTGGCAAAGAGCTGGGCGAGATGGGCAGGAGCAGGTGGGGCTGCTCTTGGGGCCACCTCTGCATTTTTCTTGGGAACATGGAGCCCTGGAAGGTAGCTTGGGCCTCTTGCCTCTGAGAGGGGCCAGGGCTACTCATGGGAAAGGCAGAGGAGCTCCCTGGGATTTGGGGTCAGGAAGCGCAGGGGTTGAATTTTGTCTTTGCCACTTTGTGACCTTGAGCAAGTTATCTACCCTCTCTGAGCTTCAGTTTCCCTCATGTGTAAAAAGAGCATATGCCGACCTCCTAGGACTGTTGAAGGGATTAAATAGAGTTGAGGGGATCAAATAGAGTGCCTAGCAGGGTGCCTGACACAGAGCAAGTGCTCGGTAAACACTCCACTGGGAGGGAGGGATGATGGAGTCGGTCTGGGCGGTTCCATCTTGGCGCCCTTCTAGGTGAAAGGGCCCAGCTCTGCCTCTCCCCTCTCCCCACTCCCATTGCCAAGAGCAACCAAGGTTGCTGTCTTTAGCCATCCCGGGCCAGGTTGCCCTCTCTGGCATCGTGCAGGTCCGCACAGTGGAGCCTACACCGAAAACTGCCTGGTGGCCGGAAACCACGAGAGGGAGGGCTCCCTTGGAGGGTGGGGCAGTGGCGGTGCTAACGGTAGCTGGTAGCTGTGTGCACATGTGGAGGAGGGTAGGGAGGCCTCCACTTCCCTCTGAGAGAGGGTGCACTGGTTGGGGGGGGGTTCCCCAGTGAGTAAGAGCTCAGTGTGGGCAACAACAGGAAGCGTAGGGTGCTGGGTGGCAGGAAATGGGGCTGGCTGTTCCTGGTTCCTCAGAAGGGGGCCTGGGGCCACGTTGTCTGCAGAAGACCCTGGGGATTCAGGACCCACATTTTCCATAGTCTTCAGTGCTCCTTCAGAGGAAACTGGATTTTCTTACCAGCTTGCCAGCCAGGTCATTTTGCACAAGCAACTTAATCTCTCTGTGCCTCAGTTTACCAATTGTGAAATGGGGATTGTAACAGTATCAGTTTTGTGGGCTTCTTGTTGAGGTTTAAATGAGGTAATAGATGTAAAGCACTTAGAATGGAGCCTGGCACTGAGTGTTTTGGGAGTATTAATTATTATTGTGGTGTCTCCTATCAATCTGACTTTATGGGCAGTGCCTGCTGCCCTGGCTGTCACCCTGCTTGTCCTTGCCCCTGCTGTGGGGACCCTTGAACCCTGATGGGAGAAGCTGTTAGCTTTTTGGGGTTATCAGCACTTGATCCTAGGCCTGGGTTACCCCACAACCCTCTCCTGTAAGCCTGGGATTGCTTATAAGGGCCTCAGAAAAATCTATATACTGGAATTTTAAAAAGTGGATAAAATTGATTGTTTTTGGAAATACGCTGAGAACTCTAAAACAAAGGTTGAGGCCAGATAGAGGCGGATGGAGGAGATGGATGGAGAAGTGGGGACTGGGGGACAGGGCCACTTCTAGGCTCATTAGGCTATGGAACCGCTGCAGGGCTGGTCTGAGATTGGGGCTGGTGTCCAAATTCAGGGGCATCCTGGGGCTTGAAGGGCAGGCCTCAAGGGGAGAGGCTGGGCAGGTGGGTTGGAACTAGTCTCGGTTCAAATGAAAGTAAAACTGGAGGGTGTGGCTCTGTCCAGATGTAGCTTGAGCTCCTTCAGCCTCCTGGGACACCTCCTGATGTCAGCAATGGCTGGGGGTGGGGGTGGGGGGCGTGATATAAACCAGCAAGGGGCTGGCCTTGGGTGAGCAGGGCTGGACGACCCTCTGGCACTCAGAGAGGTAGGGGCAGGGAAGGAGGAGACACATTCTAATAGAAATGTTGGGAAACCAGCTCCTTTTCTTGGCTATACCCTAGGAGATGAATCCTGTCTCCTCCCTCTTACCCAAAGCATCAATGGCAGCAGGGGAAGGGTGCCGAAGAATCAGTTAATTTTCAGCCAAGCCTTGGAGACAGGTCTGTTTTGTCTGGATGTTTTCACTAACTTCTGCTTGCCACAGGATCCCTCACCTTGCGGTCATAGATGAACTCTCTCCATCCCCCCAATCCATGAAATGCCTCTTCACTGTGGTGCATCACCAAAGGGTGTTATAATCACATCAGAACACAGCTCCTCACAGGTGCTCCTAGGAGCTCTGTGAGCCTATGAGGCAGGAGGGAAGCGTGCCCATTTTATGGAGGAGGAAGCTGAGGCTCAAGGAGCAAAGAAGCCATAGTGTTGGTGGGCCCAGAGCTGGGTCTTGCCTCATAGCTGCTCCTTCCCTCTTCCCCCTCACAGGAGGCAAGTCACACACACCTGGACTTCCCTGTCCCTGCCCTTCCTGTTCCAGTTGTCAGCCTAACTTCTACTTGTCTCTCAGTGCTCAAACCTATAACGCTGCCTCCTTGCTGGGGCCCTGGGTCTGGGAGTCTGTTCTTAGTTTTCAGGATGGTCTCACCCACTCAGAGTGAGTGGCATCCACTGGCTCCTCTCCTGCTCCCTAGGGTGCCTGTCTCCTCGGTGGGCACAGCCAAGGAACAGCTGCTAATTAGCGCTCAGCGCTGTCAGAGCTATTTCTGATTTCGGAGCCTAAATTTAGCCCGTCTGGCAGGCTGGCATGTGGGCCTAGGGGCCTGAGGAGGCCCAGGTGGGGAAGGGGCAAAGGGGCACCATGTCCTCCATCACTGTCAGGACAGATGTGCCAGCTCCAGCAGAGGCCTCCCCCTCCCCACTAATAACCATGGGGCTGTCCTAGGGGACTGGACCAGGGCCCTGGTTCAGAGTCAGCTCTAGGCTCAAAGCCCGCCCAGCTCCCCTCTTACTGGCTTTGTAACCTTGGGCAGGTCACTAATCTGTGCCTGCACCTGTAAAATGGGAGCAATAGTGGTGCCAGTGATGGTGGTGAGGGTGGACAGTGGTCATCTGCGTGCAGGGCTCAGAGCAAAGCTGGCTCCCACAATTGTTGGGGTCATTATTATGGTTAGTTGCTGCCTCTAGAAGTGCCACTGGGACATTCGGGGAACCAAACAGGTGCCCAGGGTGGGTGAGGGCCCGGAAAGACCCATGTTGGGAAGTGGGTCTCCCCTCTAAGGCTCAGCCACCCCCTAAACTTCCCCCACTGCCATCTTCCTCCTCTCTGGTTCTGACCACTGCTCCAGTTTCCCTGTCCCCTCCTCCGGCTTCTTCCTTCCCCCTCATCCTTGCCCCATCACTTCAGCCCTGCCCTACCCTGGGTCTCTATGGGGTGGGGATAGATCAGGAGGGATGGGGGGAGAGAGAGAGAGAGGGAGAGAAGGAGAGAATGGTACCAGTGAGGTCTCCCTGGCCCAGTAGGACCCTCCCCAAGGCCGCTTCCTGGGCAGCCCCTCCCAAGGTGGTGGGCTCTGGTCTGGCTGTTGTAGTTGGTTTGGGGGAGGGTGGCCATGAGACAGCAGCAGTTTCCTCAATCAGGGCTCACTTTCACAACGGGGGTGAGGAATGACGTATCCCCATGCCCAGCCGGTGGTGGGGGGGCTGGCGGAAGGTCAGTTTCACCTCTCAACTGAGGCCCCAGACAGAAGGCTTAGGCAATGGGGCTGAGAGCACCCAGCTTCCTGTGGTCTGGGGCTGACCAAAGGCAGTGATTTTTAGGATGAGGCCTGGCTAGAGCCAGAGGACTAGGCCCAGCACTCCAGAGAGGATGTTGGCTGAGGAGCCTTGGGTGGGTGAGGCCCCCTCTCTGTTCCAGCTGTGGCCTCCTCTCAGGGCCACGTGAGCTGGTGACAGGAGCTTCCTCTCATATCACCTGAGGAGACTTGGAGCTCCTTGAGGGCAAGAACTGTTTTGGGGGTCTGACACAGAGTAGATTCTCAATAAACGTGGGGTTTACTGAATTGACGTGAACTGGCATCATCTTCTGGGTCTATTAGGAAGACATGCTAAGTCCTGGGGGCCCAGGGAGCCCCGAGTGCTGGTCACACCTGGTGGTTCCACAGCCCCAGCGGGGACTCTATGCACGCCCTGTGGGGGAGGAGCTTGACAGGGACCGCGCACCCGTGTCATTCATTGCTGGGGAGGACCTTGGCTCCTGAGGGGAGTCCCAGCCTGGCCACCAGCACCACAGACCCAGCGTGCTGTCTGCTCTCCCCAGGTCCTGTGGCTGGGTGACCTTCTCCTGGAATCCCCCCCTCCCACCCCCATAGCCATGATGCATCTGCTTGGAACTCCCTGTCCTCTGACCTCAGCTCCCTGGGCCTGCCTCCACCTCCTTCCTTCCAGAAGTGAGGAGGTGGGAGGGGCTGGAGAGGGAGGAAGAAGGGTGCTGCCTGCCATCCTTGCAAGAGTTTCTGGTGTTTGTGAGGCCCTGGTGCCCTGGGCCGGGATGGTACACACGTGGTGTCTCTGGCGGCGTGTGGCCACACGTGGGCCTCTGAGCTTCTCACCCCCGTGGGAGCAGGGATGGTACCTTCTTATCACACATGGGGAGACGAGCCCAGAGGTGCTTGAGGTCCCAGGAAGTTAGGCTGAGAACCTACACTCCTGCCTGCATGTCAGGTGTGTCAGGGAGGCGAGGTGGGGAGACAGAGCTCAGGCCCTGGAGTCAGGCACACTCTGAATCAAATGGCAATGTCACTTTCTAGCTTTTGAGCCCAGGGCAAGGTGCTCCACCTCTGTGCCTCAGTTTCCTCATTGGCTAGTGTTACTTATCTCCCAGGGTGAGGGTGACAGGGATTCATGTGTATGGTGGGCCTACTAGGGAGCTGGCCCCTAGTGGAGTTCCTGAAAATGCCCGTGTCCCCCTCCCCATGTGTTGGGGCACCAGGCTCAGGGGCTTTATCTTGTCCTCTCCCTCCCCAGAACTGTATGAACTTGCCCCCGGACAAAGTCCAGCTGTTGAGCCAGTATGACAACGAGAAGAAGTGGGAGCTCATCTGTGACCAGGTGGGTACCAGGACCCTTATGCCATTGGGACACCTTTCCCTGGCCAGACTGAGGCTAGCAGGAGAGGGGGCTCTGCCATACTGTCTAAAGGGCCAAGACCCAGCCCAGAGGCCAGTGTAGCATCTGGGGAGGGTGGTGGGGACCTGGGAGCATCAGCAAGACTCTGGAATCTCCTTCTCTTGGACATGGGCCTCCCTGGGGACCTTATGAATCATGAGCAGGGCTGGGCCTGTTCTCTGAAGAGCTGGCAAGGGCTAGTCCAGGCGCTAGCCAGTTTGGGTGGGGCTGTGTCACCGTCCTCCTGCTAAGCTTCCTGGAGCAGCCTCTGTGGACCCTCCAGCTCTGGGTGGGGGAAGAGAAAGGGTAACCCCAGGGTTGGACATCTTCATTTGACTCCAGAGGAGGTGGTGGGCAGGACCCCTTTTACTTGGGGTCCAGAGGAACTGTGTCAACCAAGCAGTTCCCCAAAGTCAGCTGGTTACTAAGTGGTGAAGTAAGGACTAGAACCCCTGTCTTGTGGTGCTCAGTCAGGATCCAGGCTTGCCACCTTCGTGGCTCACTGGCTGCCCTGGCCCTTCCGGCTTTAAGGGCTGCTGTCCATGGTAGCAGGAGGACCCCTCCCACTGCTGGGACGGGGCGGGGCCTTCTTGCCACAGTGATTTGGTGCGGGAGGGAGGCGGTCCTGTGGCCTGGAGGCTGGAAGTAGGGAGTGGGGAGCAGGAAGTCTCCCCTGGGAGCCAGGGCTAGGCCTTCAGCTGCTGCTAATGGATGGGAGGAGCTGACAGGACAGGATGGGGATGGGGAAAGGGCTGGGCCTTAGGGAGAGGGTGGGCACCTGCCACCAGAGGCTTTGAGACTGTAGTAGGAGTCCCTGCCACATGGCCTGGCATCTCAGGTTGGAGCGCAAAGGCCTGGGAGAGGTGGGAGGTGGAGGGCTGGGCATTTCTGAAGGGTTTGGGTTGGGAAGGATGGGAGCTTCTCTGGGTAGGAGGCCTTTGATATTGCCCCCACCTCTTTGTGGGAGTGGCTACTGGAGTGCTGGGTGGGGCGGGAGAGGCAGGAGCCCAGGAGATGAGCCTACACCTGTCATCCCAGGTGAATGGACAGCTGGGGTAGCGTCCTGGGGAGGGAGCCCTCCGCCTTCGGAGGACTTGGGCCCTTTCATAAGGCCCCTCCGGAGTGTTCCTCTTCCTAGTACTCCCAGCTGTGGGCTGGGTGTGGGCCAGGGTGGGCGGGGTTGGGAGACTGCCCCCCACTGGCCGATCTGAGTCCCCTCCTCCCAGGGTGGGGTGTGTGGCAGGACTGACTCCTCCATACTCCATCCCAAGGGCTGGGCCTATGAGGCCACAGTGGGAAGGAAAGGCTAGGCCCAGGGCTGGGGTCTTTGGAAGTGGCCTGGATGATTGTTTGGTTGGGCCTTTGGTATTTCACAGGGGTCTTAAGCAGCCTGGGATCTCTGGTCAAAACTGAGAATGGGACACTGGAACAAGGGCTGGTCATTTGCCCTGGCTGGTTCCCTGTACACCTCATTCCATCTCCCTAGGAGCGGTTTCAAGTCAAGAACCCCCCCACAGCCTATATCCAGAAGCTGAAGAGCTACCTGGAAACTGGTGGGGTCAGCCGAAAGGTAGCAGCGGACTGGATGTCCAACCTGGGGGTACACATTTCCCCCTTTTTCTCCATCTCTTTCCCCCTGCACCTTCCAAGCTCTGGGCAGCTGGAGTAACTGTGTGTATAAACTTTCCTGTGGTTGTGTGGTGCATGTGCGAGTATATGTGTTCATAGGGACTGAGAGTGCCCTGGTCAGGCACTTTCACAGGTTCCTTTGCATATTCCTTGTGTGCTTACGTGGCACACATGTGTGTACTTGTATAGGTGCATGAGCCCTGTGTGTCTGTGCATGGAAGTGCAAGTGTGTGCTTTTGTGTTCACATATGGATGTGTGTGTACCCTTGAGTCTATGTACAGGGTGTGTGTGTGTGTGTGTACCCCACGTGTCTGTGTATGGATGTGTGGGTACCTTATATTTGTGTACCCAGGGTGCTTGTGTCTGGATGTACATGTGTGTGTGTGTGTGTGTGTGTACCTGGGGTGTTCATGTTAGAATGTGTGTGTCCCCTGTGTCCTTGGGTACATGTGTGTATGCTGTGTGTCTGTATATGGAGGTATGTGTGTGCACACTGCGTGTCTGTGCACGGGGGAGTATGCTTAGCCTGAGAATGCTTATTCTGTTGGGCAGGTGTGTGGAGGTGGTGGGGGAGGCTGACGTGAAAGGACAGTTATGGGGGGAGGGCTGGCTGCCGCCTGAGGGTTTTGTGGGCCTGTGGGAGGCTGGGTCTCATCACCAGACTCCTCTGTTCTTGACCCCCAGTTTAAGAGGCGAGTTCAGGAGTCCACTCAGGTGCTGCGGGAGCTGGAGATCTCCCTGAGGACAAACCACATTGGGTGAGCAAGGGCTCAGATTTCCCTCTGGAGGACCTGGGAGAGCTCTGCCTCCAGGCAGCCCCTGGGGCTTCCCTTGCTTAATCCCCTGCCTACATCACTCTTCCTGTGGGCAACCTCCAGGGTGGGTGTCCAGGACAGCTTCCCTGCTTCCTCTCCTACCCATGCTCTGCCTGCCCCTTGAGGCATGGCTCGGTCATGGGTCCTGCTTGGGCCCCCGAGCATCCCTGAGCACCACTGGGTCTGAGACTGGAGCTGCTTGGTGTGTTCCTGGGGAAAGTGCACCCCAGGGGCCCTTGCCTGTTTTGTGTGCCCGCTCTGGGCAGGACCTTCTTCCTGACTGGAACTTAAGGAGCCCTGTGTCCTGCAGGTGGGTGCAGGAGTTCCTCAACGAGGAGAACCGTGGCCTGGATGTGCTCCTCGAGTATCTGGCTTTTGCCCAGTGCTCTGTCACGTAAGCCCCCTGCACTTGCCCTCATGCTGCTCCTCGGAGTCTTGATCCATGCTTTCCTGTGCCTTGCCACTCCTCTGGTCATGTCCACACAGTGCAGCCCAAGCCTACCCTGGAACCTACCCTTGGCCTTGAGCAATGCCTCTTCCTGAAGGCCTGCCATGGATAGGGAGGGATGTATCTTGGGGAGGCCAGCTGGGACCTGGTGTCTTACTCTTCTGTTCCACCATCCTCTCTCCCCCTACTATGCCCAGCACAGTGCCAAGAACACAGCCTCCTCCTGCCCTCTAGTCTCTCCCACAGAACTGTTTCTCCCCTCGATTCCCCCATTCCTCTCTTAAATACCTCTGCAGTGTTGGCATCCAACCCCACTCTGACCCCCAGGTATGACATGGAGAGCACAGACAATGGGACCCCAAACTCAGAGAAGAGCAAGCCCCTGGAGCAGTCAGTGGAAGATCTCAGCAAGGGCCCACCCTCGTCCTTGGCGTCACAGCCCAAGAGTCGCCACCTGACCATCAAGTATGTGGGCCCATGGAGGGGTGACGGGGAGAATGGAGAATTCACCTCTAGACTGCTGCACCCACCCAGCCTCACTCTGGGCTCTTAGGGATGGTGGGAGGGGTAGCCTGGCATTGGGGATCAGAGTAAGGGCCTCAAACAGAGCTCGGGACGTTGGTGTGTTAATAAGCCTTCAGGGGCGGGCACCTAGAGGCTGGAATCTGGGTGGATCTGGAATAAGGAGGAGGTTTTTGGGTCAGTGGGACCCTCTTCTACCCATATAACTCCCTGTTTTCTTCCTTGCTGCCTCCAGATGTCCCCCTTCTCCCCGGTATGTAGCTGCCTGGGGGCAGGTGCATGCCTGGCGGTCTCCTGGGTGGTGGTGGGTGGGGTGAGGCATTCAATTAATGCTCCTGGGTTCAGCTGCTATGGCTAGGTCACCCCACCCTAACTTAGGGCATCCTGCTGGGAGGTGAGGAGAAGGAAGGAGATGGTCCTGGAGCCTTATGTGGATGCCCAGTTTCCTCCCTTCCTACTTTGGGTCTAGGGGACTCACTTCATATTAAGACCCAAACTCTCATAACATGTTTCTTCATTCATTCATTCATTCATTCATTGAACAAATATTTTTTAGCATTTACTATGTATCAGACATGGTAGCAGGTGTTCAGAAGAGAGATTATCCTGCACTTGTGAGCCCTTGGTCTAGTAGGGGACAATGTATGACAGACTGTCATGGAAGTGTGACTTCGAGCTCTGAGAAGGGAGGCGGCCACTGCCTGGGGCATCAGGAAAGCTTCCCAGAGGAGATGGTACTGGAACTGTGTCTCATGATATGAGCTTTATGAGTAGTGATGGAGACAGGGAAGGTCATTCCAGGCAGAAGGAACAGCATGAGCAAAGACTCAGAGGCTTAGTTTTGCAATGATGAGAGAAGGGTAATGTGGCAGGCAGAGGGAGGAGGTGGGACCTCATAGTGTTGTCGGATATGTGATATAACTGTCAAGAGGACCAAGAGTCGCAATTGTGATGTGGAAGTCACAATTGGCAAGATCTGCAACAATGAAAAAAAATCACGATTTTTAGCCAAGAGTTATTAAGCACTTACTATGTGCCAGGCACTGTTCTGAGCTCATTTCATAGTCCCAACAACCATATCAGGGAGGTGCTATTATTATCACTCTTGTTGCACAAATGAGGAAACTGAGGCACAGGAAGTCTAAATAACTTGCCCCGTAAGTGGTGAGCTGGGCTTTGGAGCAAGGCCCTCTGAATTTCGAGTCCGCTTCTCAAGATGGAAGATAAGCCCATGTGGCTGGAAGCGCCACCTTGTGGAGAGCATTTCTGCGGCCGTTCCCACGCTTCCAGGCTCTCCATCCCAACACAGTGACCCTTCTTAATGCCAAGTTGCTGTGAAGGGTCTTTACTTTCCTGACCCGCCCTCCTCACATCCTCTCCAGCATGCCAGGCCCCAGGCCTAGGGCCCAAGGAGGCCTTCCTGCCCTACGCCAGCCTCTTTGGTTGGGTAGATGTGCCCCCCTCTTATCCCAGAGGCCATGGGAGTGTGTGTGGGGGACCAGGAAGAAGGGTTTGGGACTCTGACCCCTGCTGCCTCCTCCCACCCCCACCCCCCAGGCTGACCCCGGCCCACAGCAGGAAGACCCTGCGGAATTCCCGCATCGTCAGCCAGAAGGATGACGTCCACGTCTGCATCATGTGCCTGCGCGCCATCATGAACTACCAGGTGGGTCAGCCAGGCCAGTTCTCACCAGAGGCTGCCTCAGCTGCTGAGGTTCTGGGACCAACTGTGCCCCCACCCTCTCCCCCACTGGAGAACCTGGGGATCTGGGCTGTTGGCTCGGGGTCTTGAGGCTGACAGTCTTGAGGGGAAGCCCGGATTTCTGACCCTTCCTGGTCAGGTCCCCTAGAGTACCCTGGACATGATTGGGAGCATGGGTATGCCTCATGTGGGGGCTTAGGCATACCAACCGAGACAGGCTAGACACCAGGCCCATGGGGGAGCAGCCCTGGGTTATGTCACTGGGAGGAGTGATTAGTGAAGCTGGCCCTCCCTCACTCAGCCAGCCTTTGAGGACTCACTGTGTCCAAGGTACTGAGTCCTGACACTGACTTTTGAATAGACAAAAAGGTATTTAAAAAGAGGGACCAGACTTTGGCTGCCTGAGAAGAGGTTGTGGGTAGATAGAACTTCCTAAGCTTGAGGGCAGTTAGAGACCAGAATGGTATGGCACTGGCAATCCCAGAAGTGTGGGGTGGGAGGGTGCTGGCAGTTCTGGGGGTCTGCCTGGAGGAGCTGAACTCTTTCCTCTCCCCAGTCTGGCTTCAGCCTCGTCATGAGCCACCCAGCCTGTGTCAATGAGATTGCTCTGAGCCTCAACAACAAGAACCCCAGGTGAAGTCCGGGCCCCTAACCTTTCTGCATATCTAGATTCTCCTGCTACTTAACCCCTTGCCTACTCTGTCCCCCCACTCTTAGGACTACTGTTTAGGCAACCTGCCCTTCTCTCCCCAGAACCAAGGCTCTGGTGCTGGAGCTGCTGGCTGCTGTGTGCCTGGTGCGGGGGGGACATGACATCATCCTTGAAGCCTTTGACAACTTCAAGGAGGTACTGGAGGCCCCACTCAAAGATGTACTTGTCCTCTAGTGTTGCTTAGAGCCCTGATACTGGCAGTTGTGGCCTGTGCTGGGAGAAGTTGGGTGGACGTTTGGGGAATATAGGGTGGGGACAGCCTGGGACAGGGAAGCTCTGAAGAGGTGTAGAGTCACATGGGGGGACGGCAACAGGGACAACTATGTGCATTTGCTGACCCTCTGACGCTCAGCCTTGCCATATCCAAATTAGACTTGATCCATACATCTCAGGGTTGCTGACTCTGGGTCACTAATCTGGTTAATGGGCTCATGAGAAGTAAATGCTTGAGAATATGACACAGAAGGCAGCACATGGCATTCATTCTTTTAATGAATATTAGCATCTACTATGTGTTAGGCACAGAGCGGACACTTGAGATATGTTAGTGATCAGTGAACAAAAGAAATACAGATAATAACCAACATAATAAATAAGCAAATTAAATAGTGTGTTAGAAAATGATAAATGCCAAGGGGAAAAAGTCATGGATGCTGTAGGGAGAACTGGTTGCAGGGTGGTCAGGGAAGCCTAATGAGAGGTGAGATTTGAGCAAAGCTGTGAGGGAAGCGAGAGACTTGGCATGGCCGCTATCTCAAGTAAGAGCACACTAGATAGATGGATCAGCAAGTGCAAATGCCCTGAGGTGGGAATGTGTCAGGACACCAGTGTGGCCAGAGTGGAGTCAGGGGGAAGGCTGTGAGAGATCGAGAGGGAATGGAGGTTTTGAGCAGAAGAGTGACATGGCCTGACTTAGATTTAACTTGAGAGGAGCCTATAGAGGCACAAGGGTGGCAGCTGGAAGATGACGTAGAAGGTGTGTCACTGGGGTCTCAGTGACAGCCATTCTCCCCGCCCAGGTGTGTGGGGAGCAGCACCGCTTTGAAAAGCTGATGGAATATTTCAGGAACGAAGACAGCAACATCGACTTCATGGTGAGCTCAGGAGCCCAGCTTGGGCTGGGTCACTCTCAGATGCAAGGTGCATCTGGGTATCGCAACTGCGAAGTATGAGGACTGATGGTTGGTGGGGGAGGGGTAGATGCTAGAGAGGGGGAGGCTGGAGGGAGGGGACATGGGGAGAAATGTGGATAGGAATAAAGCTGGGTTAGTGGAGTGAGAAATGTGCAAAGGGAGGCAGACTTGAGTGGTAAGAGGGGGGCAGAAGGCACTTAGAACCACCCCCCAGAGGATCATAGACCTCCTCATGTCCCCCACCCCCCAGGTGGCCTGCATGCAATTCATCAACATCGTGGTACACTCAGTGGAGAACATGAACTTCCGTGTCTTCCTGCAATATGAGTTTACCCATCTGGGCCTGGACCTGTACTTGGAGGTGAGCCCTGCACTGTCCCCTGGACTTAACCGTTTGCCCATTGCTCAGTAGTTGGCATCATAGGTGTTGGGGTCAGGCAGACCTGGGTTCAAATCCTGGCTCTCCCACTTCCTAGCCCATGTGACTTTGGATAGGTCTCTTTTCTCTCAGTCTCAATTTTCCCATCTGTAGAATAGGAGAATCTTAGATATGATAATGACTCTCAATAGGATGGTGTCTGCCACGTAATAGACACTCAGTCCATGGAACTAGGCCCTAGAATAGGCTCCAGGTGGCCCTGGGTCTGGCTCTGGGAGCACATAATGGGGAGTGCAGAGATACTGGGCCAAAGTGAGAACTGACTGACTCCGGATGGGTGCAGGTCATGGGGGAGTTCCTTTCCTTGAGGAAGGTGGGCAGAAGGGCTTGGTGCTTCCTGGCCTGAGCAGAGAAGCTGCAGCTTTCTTCTCTAATTCCGTTGGGAGGCTTCCTGGAAGAGCAGGGTCTTTGGGATTGGATTTATTAAGCCAGGATTAACAGCAGGCTAGGGTAATACACACACACACACACACACACAGAAAATGTAATATTCCTCAGCCATAAAAAAGGAATGAAATACTGAAGCATGCTACATCATAGATGAGACTTGAAAACTTTATGATAAGTGAAAGAAATCAGACACAAAATACCACATAGTGTATGATTTTTTTCTATAAAATGTCCAGAATAGGTAAGTCCAGAGAGACAGAAGTGAGTTGGTAGTTACCAGGGGCTGGGGGAGGAGAGAATGGGATATAACTGTTAATAGGGACAGGGTTTTTTTGGGGGGGGGGTGATGAAAATGTTCTGGAACTGGATAGTAGTAGTGGTTGCACAACCTTGTGAATATACTAAAAACTACTGAGTTGTACAGTTTAAAATAATGAATTATGGTGTGTGAATTATATCTCAATAAAAAATAAAGGAAAAAAGACAGGCTAGGGATCAGATCCCTTCCTCTGGGCTCTGGTGGTGATGGGAGGTGTTGGAAAGATCCCTCACACCAGGCCTCACCCATCCTTCCATCTGGGAGACAGAGGCTTCGGCTCACAGAGAGCGACAAGCTGCAGGTGCAGATCCAGGCATATTTGGACAATGTTTTTGATGTGGGCGTGCTGCTGGAGGACACTGAGACCAAGAATGCTGTGCTGGAGCACATGGAGGAGCTGCAGGAGCAGGTGACCCTGGTGAGAGCTGCTACTGAACTCGGCCCAGATCATAGTAGGCCCACAGGTCCATACAGCAGCATCAGGCACTGGGCCTAACACTGGTTCTAGGTGTGAATTGGGCATGGCTGCCTGGCTCCTGAGTTTGACCTGAATCTAAATCCTAAATCCTCTGAGTGCCTTTCTCAGTGAGTGTTCATTGAGCATCTACACTGTGCTGGACCTCTGAGGAAGGCAGGCACCCTCCTCTCCCAGTGCTTAGACCCCAGGCCATGACTTGGGTGGAACCTCAAGTCTGAGGCCCCTCCCAGCTCAGTTTCCTCTTGGCCCAACACCCCTCAGTGGTGCCTTGGATTTCCCTCCTGAGAGAATTTTAGTGCCTTCAGTGCCTCGCCCACTTGGGCTCAAGTGCCAGGCTGGGCCCACCCGGCACCCTGGGCTAAGTACGTCAGGAAGCCTCCCCCAGCTCTCCAGGCAGGCATGCCTGATGCCACCCCCTCACCGGTGGTGCCAGTGCCTGACAGCGGGTGGGAACTCACTATGTGCCTGGTGCCACAGCTGACAGAGAAGCTTCGGGACGCGGAGAACGAATCCATGGCCAAGATCGCTGAGCTGGAAAAGCAGCTAAGCCAGGCCCGAAAGGAGCTGGAGACCCTGAGGGTGAGGCTGGGGAATGGGCCGTGCCGGGGGTGGTCTGGGCTCCCAAGAACAGACCAGTTGGGGCTTCTAGGCTTGATACCTACCTCCACCCTGGCAAGAGGATGGGGCTCAGCGCCAGGCCTGCTGGTGCGCACTGACCCTTCCTTTGGGGCTTGCAGGAGCGGTTCAGGGATTCGACTGCCATGGGCGTCTCCAGGCGTCCACCTGAGCCTGAGAAAGTGCCTGCCCCTGCTTTGGCAAGGCCCTCGGCCCTAGAGCTGAAGGTGGAGGAGCTGGAGGAGAAGGGCTTAATCCGTATCCTGCGGGGACCCGGGGATGCCGTCTCCATCGAGATCCTCCCAGTTGCTGTGGCAACTCCAAGCGGCACTGATGCCCCGACTCTGGGAGTGCCCACGGGTTCCCCCAGCCCAGGTGCGCAGGAACTCCAAGCT